ACTTTTTTATTGTTTTTGATGCCTGGTTCTATTGCTAACTTAATGTATGTTAGTGTAAACTTGTTGTCTAGTGTTTGTATGCATTTGTAAGTGGAAAAAAAGGGTGTTCCACTTTATGGCGGTTTCCGCTTTACGGCGGTAGCCTGGAACCTAACCAGCCGTATAATTGGGGCCCTCCTGTACAGTACTTTTTAAATTTTACTAGTAAAATTATTTTAACATAAAAGAGTATATTCTTTTGTTTACGAAGAAGCATAATAAAATAAGAGTATATTCTTTGGCATTATTATCACATATTACAATAACAATGTAGTCATGACCCTAAATACCCCATGTCACAAGTCACTACCTTTCCCTAAGTCTCATGACACACCTACTACTAAGTGTCATAAGACACCCTTGTCTTTGTGTTACAATGCTCCTCCTCTCCTTGTCACACGACACCCTTTTCTCTGTCGCACGACATCCTTTTCTCTGCTTCATAACACGCCTTCTCTGTGTCTCAAGACACTACCTTTTGTACAGGGTTACATGACATCTTGTTAATGGCATATGATTTGTGTAACACCCTTCACCTGTGTTCTTACCGACACAAACTCACACAAGACACCGTTACACGACCTTGCCCCTCTCTCACACACAACACTACTTCGATTGTCTCACACGACGCTACCTCGCCTGTGTCTCACACGACACTACCTCACCTGTGGCTCACACGACACTACCTCGCATGTGTCTCACACGACACTACCTCGCCTGTGTCTCACAATGTCGTGGGATAGCCTGCAGGATAGCCAGTCGGTGGGGATCAAGCCAGCAGGAAACTAAGTCCATCTGGTATCAGGTGAGCAACAGAGGTGAACACACACTGTGGTCAATACTCTCTCTCTCTCTGCCTGAGGGTGTTCGATGAATTCAGTGGACTCTCAAGTATTGATGAACTTTCTCTGTGATGAATTCAATGTCTCTCTGCCTGAGGCCATCAGGTGAACTCAGGACTTTCAAGCAATGGTGACCATGCGCAGTGGTGAATACACTCTGTCTGAGGCCGGCTGAGCAGCCCTCAACATGGGTGAACTGATGTTACACAGGGTGCTGCCAGCCGATAACAACCAATTAGCAGCACCCAAGTGGTTGGCCAACCACCTTTGCTTTTGTCTCTTTCTAGGTTCACAACAGCAACCCTAAATACCACATGAAAATACTCCTCAAAGTTGGCGTTTTAACCCAAAAACACTGTGGGAGCTTTTTTCTCTCATGCACTGCGTGCTGCAGTATTTTTTTTATCTGTGCACACTGACCATACAAACCTATTCTCTCACATGTAGGTCTACCAGCTTTCTCCCGCTAGATTTGAAGCCGTTAGAATTTTGGTGTATCAGTACAGTACCAACACTGGCCTGTAAGCTGTAATAATATGAGACCGACAGTGAAAGTGTTAAAGGAGAGGTTTGGGATATTGGCTGTTTGGAGTGACATTTAAACTATCCTATCTGAGCACCTCAACAAAGACAGTGATTGTGTATGAATGGTGAAAGCATTGAATTATGAAAGTTTTTTTATTCTTTCTTATTTGGTTTTTCTTTCTTTTTTGGTCACCCTGCCTTGGTGGGAAACTGTTGACATGTTAAAAAAAAGAATGGATATGTTTCTAGAACTGTTGCAGTCTCTGGAACTCTTTGAAAGATAGTGTCATGCACAATAGTGTTTTACACCCCTCTCACATAAAACTAGTGTCTGCATTTTTATGGGCATTTTGTTGTATGCGCACATACATTACTTCTTAGTAGGAGAAAGTGTTACTAAGAAGTGATCACCATGCTTCAAATGAGAGGGTATTTGGTGATGAGATTGTGGGTGGTTTTGTATTGCAGGTGTTGTGACCTGGTACTTGAATATTATTTGCCTGATGACAAACAAACAAATTTCAGCCAACAGTGGTCTGTTGCTGGTCTTCATCCCATACATATTATATGCATTTAGCATGGTAATGTCCTTGAGATGGAAAAAAGTTTCATGTACCACTTACAAATCTTGCAGAAACAATCGGCAAACCCAATTTGCATGTCACATTTGTCCACTAAATGCATATTGAGGGTGTATTCAGTCATAGTTGCAGGTTTTACAATGGATTCATTGGTTTTGCTATTCTCCCTGCTGGTCTCTGTCATTTCATTTTGGTGAATTGATGTCATGCCACCATAATGCCATGATGTCACTGGCAGCAAACGCCTGCACCTCACTACTACGAGTGCCTGCTTTGAACCTGTACCACATATGCCTGTCGTGTTCACTTGGAAGAAATCACAGAGTAAGGGTCTTGTGTTAATTATCAGTATATAATGTATGCCCCCTACCGAGATATGGTTCCATCAGTGTTCTAACCTCTTCACCCGAGATACGCAATAACTTCCTGGTATCCTTCAATGTGTTACTTCCCATGTACAGAATTATGTCTAATATGAGATCACTTTCACAGTCAGTCACAAAGCACAAACATCTTGATACCAAAGTATTTCCTCTTGCTTGGTATATACTGCTTGAACAACAGTCTACCTTTGAAGAGAATCAAAGACTCATCAGTAACGAGGTTCCTGAAAAGATAAAAATACATACTGAACTTCTGTTGGAGATGCATGAACACATTCCTAATCTTGTATAACCTGTTGTTTGTTAGACCTTGTTTTGTAGGATAAGTCTTTTCACTGGAATACTGTCACTAAAGGCTGGGGTTAAAATTAGGCAGTCTGTCTACCAGTATGATTTGATACTGTGCTTGTACACATGAGGCATAAGCATTATTGTGTCAATGAACAGATATATCTCAGCCACAGTTGTCTCCTTCCGTTGGTGTAGTTGTGATTTTAGTGAAACATTTGTTTGCCATGGTATAATCGAAGTATCTGTTACTTTCCCTGATATTAATTTCCATCAGCGGTTGATCATAAAATAGTTCAAAACATTCCAGTTTATTGGCATTGTTCCCAATAGTACAAGATGGCTGGATTCCACTTTGAGTGTCATCAAATTGATAGGGATTGGGAATAAAATTGGCACCCTGCTGCCAATCCCAGATTCAGTCTGCTGGTGGGTACTGGATATTTATAGCTGCTTGTGGTTGTGCAGGTTTGTTTGGTGTGGGGGTGGTTGAGGCTGGCCTGGCTCATGAACTTGAGTCAGCAGTGTGGCTCCCAGCCTGGGCTGCTGCTGGTGCTGCACCCTCCGTGGCACCACCACCACCACCACCACCACCTACTGCCTCATGTGGTATATTATCCATCCCAATTGTAGCAATTTTATCGTTACTTTCACTGTCTGTTATTGGTGTAGGGCCACAAGATGTACTCTGTCCCCTTGGAATAGCATATGGCACACTTACAGACCTCATGTGACATTGTATAAATCGACACTTCACTGGTTGATATACTTCATTGTTGCTACTCAGATAGCAGTCAGTATCACTATCATCATTATAGCCCACATCTGAGCTCTGGCCCTGGGGAAAATATGAACTTGCACTTGTTTCCTTTTAAAACTGTACATGAACCAGACAGATCAACCCCAGAGGTGGATGGTCGAGGATTTTCAGCACTATTTATGTCATCCTGAGTGTTGCTTTCAGTCACTAATTGTTCAGAACCATAGAATTCATCTTCCCTTCCACCTCCATCCGTGTTAGAACTATTGCTTGGGAAGAGAAGATTCCCAGTTCGCCGGGGAGTGAGGTTTTTCTTAACATGAGGCATGGTGACAAAGGATACTGAGATGGCATTCCCACAATACAATGTGGGTCCCCCAATTTTTTATATACAGTGGAACCTCAAAAATCGAACTCAATCCGTTCCAGGAGCTAGTTCTAAATTCGAAAAGTCTGAAATTCGAAGCAATATTTCCCATAAGAAATAATGGGAATACAATTAATCCGTTCCAGGAACCCAAAAATATTCACACAAAAAAATACATTTTATAGAGATTAATTACAGTTTTACATACAACAAATACTATAGTTTTTAATTATGTATAGTAATACATATAAAATAACATTTTTACTTACCTTTATTGAAGATTGGTGATGGCATCTGGAAGGTAGGGAGGAGGAGAGAGGGAGTTGGGGTTAGTGTTTGGAAGGAGAATCCCCCTCCATGAGGACTTCAGGTAAAGCCCTCTCTGGGGTTACTTCCCTTCTCTGTCTTTTAACCCTTTCAGGGTCCGTCCCGTAGATCTACGGCTTTACGTTCAGGGTCCAAACCGTAGATCTACGCCATGAGCTCAGCTCACTCTGATAAACTGTGAGTGGTACATTTGGGCCTAGATATGAGAGAATACATCTATGTGGTATGTGTGCACCACATAAAACAGATCCTGCAGCACACTGTGTATAATGAGAGAAAAAAACTTAAATCATGATTTTTCGATTAAAACAGCAACTTTGCAGTGTTTTTTCGTATGTTTTTTATAGTTGTATTTGCGATTTCTTGGTCTCATTTGATAGAATGGAAGACATATTACAGAAATAGAGATGATTTTGATTGGTTTTAGCACTGGAAATGGAAATGGCATAAATAAATAATGTATGTTAGAGCTGATTTCCTCTATTCTGTTTATTACAATATACAGTATACTACTGTATAAACATTTAAAAATATTCCAGAAATGTTATAAATGGTGCAAAGGTGACATTAAAACAATATCAAAGATGGTTGACACAAACCCACTACCATTATAGTATGCTCCTCACTTAGTGATGAATTTGTTTACTGACGTGGTCTTAGGAATGGAACTCCATCGTTAAGTGAGGAGAAGCTGTCCAATATTTCTGGGAGCTTCTAGTGCTGTAGAGTGTCTTGTAGGTTTATTTCCCACTGACATTCCTGAGGCCTCCCACTGATCAACAAGACTTTTGCTTCAGAAGATAAAGATAATTATTTAATCACTGAGATTCTAAATATTTTGGTTAATTTATTTAAAAAGAAATGTATATATTTTTCTTACTCTTTCAGATGGGTTTGTACAATTTCCGTCCCTCAGTGCGGCCTGTGCCTTTAGAAGTACACATATCAGGGTTCCCTGGTAAACATTATTGTCCTCGTATGGCTACTATGAACAAACCTACTTTCCAGGGTAAATATCACGTTACTTATTTTTGCATAATTCTCCTACTTGCTTGCGTATTTTTTAACTGAGGCAGTATGCTTCCTCACCTACTTTTGATTTACTTATTTAGAAGATTTTTATCATTTCTTTTATAATCTGGTTATTTAACCCTTTCAGGGTCCAGAGGCCAAATTTCAAAGTGTGCACCAGGGTTCAAGAATTTTCAAAAAATAATTTTGTTATTTTTTCTTATAAAATTGTAGAGAATCTTTTTCTGAAAGTAATAAAACAAAAAGTACGAAATTTGATGTAAAATTGACGAAATTATGCTCTCATGAATTTTGATGTGTCAGCGATATATATGCATTGGTGATTTTGCCAACTTTGACTCCCATTTTACGCCAATTACATTATTCCAGTCGACCAAATTCTTAGCTATTTCACTAGTATTACTTCTATTCTATCGATTGAGCACAAGAAATTGCCAACTCAACTTTTTCAACTACAAATAACGTGATTGGAAATTGATAATTTGGCCAATTTAATGCTAAGTTCAAAATTTTCTAATTTCAAAATAGGGTCCAGAGTAAACAGTGTAGGTATTCCTGGCACTAAAATAACATTTCCTCTGTTCATTAGTTACGTTTTCAGGCTTTACAAATGAATTCCATTTTAATTTTTTATTCTCATAATGAATTTTTATTCAAACCAAAAAATAGAAGATTTACTGTTATGCAATATTGTAATAATTGTATAAATAATATCACCACATTTGTGAATGTATATTAGACCCACCAGCTGGCGTGTGAAATCATTTGTTTACTCATGAACATCAGCAAAAATTGAACGTTTCTGCTATTTTGAGCTCAGTTTCAAGCCATTTCCATTACTAAAACCTATCAAAATCATCTCTATTTCTGTAACATATCTTCCATTCTATCAAATGAGACCAAGAAATCGCAAATACAACTATAAAAAACGTATGAAAAACACTGCAAAGTCGGTTTTAATAAAAAATTACGGTCTCAGTTTTTTCTCTCATTATGCATTGTGTGCTGCAGGATTTGTTTTATGTGGTGCACACATACCATATAGATGTATTCTCTCATATCTAGGCCCAAATTTACTGCTTACAGCTTATCAGAGTGAGCTGAGCTCATGGCATAGATCTATGGTTTGGACTCTCAACGTATAACCATAGATCTACGGCACGGACCCTGAAAGAGTTAAAAAGTTATTCATTTAATTTTTAAATTGCCCTAGCTCAATTTGTTTTGTTTGTCAATTTGTTTATATAATTTATTCAGTATCTGTGACCAAGCTGTTACTATTGCCAGATGGATTTTTTAATTAGTCTTCTGGAACTGTAATTTCGGCTGGCTAGCTGGCTGGCCACCTGGCTGGCCAGTGGCTGGTTGGCCACCTGGATGGCCAGTGGCTGGCTGGCCACCTGGCTGGCTGATTGGCTGTCTCTATCTCCATCTGTCTGTCTGTATCTCTGTCTATCTCTTTGTCTCTGTCTTTATCTCACAGGAACACATGAGTAAACACAATTATACATAGTGTAAATTACCTAGGATCACAGGAACACATGAGTAAACACAATTATACATAGTGTAAATTACCTAGGATCACCCCAAAAAATCCAGACAAATTGTTATACTGTGCTTGCAGATAGTGATTGTAATACCAGTTGGTTCATGAGCAACTCTCTGAGACAAGAGAGACAAGCAGACAGAAACACACAGGCAGACAGACACACACACACAGACAGACACACAGACAGAGCTAGACAGAGCAATAGACAGATACATAGAGCTAGACAGACAGAGCTGGACAGATAGACTGAGCTAGACAGACAGATAGACAGACATGTTTATATGAAACAGTGATAACAAATAAAGGGAAGGCTCATGAAATGTTACCACTGTCATTAGCGGGGTGATGAGACCCCGCTCATCAAATGTCACCATTATCGGCAGTGGAGTGATAAGACGAGTGACACACTCTTGCATGGTGCTTCAAAGGAACTTATTATTATTATATTAATATTATTAATTTTTTTTTTTTTTTTTTTTTTTTTTTTTTTTTCAACAAGTCGGCCGTCTCCCACCGAGGCAGGGTGACCCAAAAAAAAAGAAAGAAAATCCCCAAAAAGAAAATACTTTCATCATCATTCAACACTTTCACCACACTCACACATTATCACTGCTTTTGCAGAGGTGCTCAGAATACAACAGTTTAGAAGCATATATGTATAGAGATACACAACATATCCCTCCAAACTGCCAATATCCCAAACCCCTCCTTTAAAGTGCAGGCATTGTACTTCCCATTTCCAGGACTCAAGTCCGACTATATGAAAATAACCGTTTCCCTGAATCCCTTCACTAAATATTACCCTGCTCACACTCCAACAGATCGTCAGGTCCCAAGTATCATTCGTCTCCATTCACTCCTATCTAACACGCTCACGCACGCTTGCTGGAAGTCCAAGCCCCTCACCCACAAAACCTCCTTTACCCCCTCTTTCCAACCCTTTCGAGGACGACCCCTACCCCTCTTTCCTTCCCCTATAGATTTATATGCTTTCCTGTCATTCTACTTTGATCCATGCTCTCTAAATGACCAAACCACCTCAACAACCCCTCTTCTGCCCTCTGACTAATGCTTTTATTAACTCCACACCTTCTCCTAATTTCCACACTCCGAATTTTCTGCATAATATTTACACCACACATTGCCCTTAGACAGGACATCTCCACTGCCTCCAACCGTCTCCTCGCTGCTGCATTTACCACCCAAGCTTCACATCCATATAAGAGTGTTGGTACTACTATACTTTCATACATTCCCTTCTTTGCCTCCATAGATAACGTTTTTTTGACTCCACATATACCTCAACGCACCACTCACCTTTTTTCCCTCATCAATTCTATGATTAACCTCATCCTTCATAAATCCATCCGCCGACACGTCAACTCCCAAGTATCTGAAAACATTCACTTCTTCCATACTCCTCCTCCCCAATTTGATATCCAATTTTTCTTTATCTAAATCATTTGATACCCTCATCACCTTACTCTTTTCTATGTTCACTTTCAACTTTCTACCTTTACACACATTCTCAAACTCATCCACTAACCTTTGTAATTTTTCTTTAGAATCTCCCATAAGCACAGTATCATCAGCAAAAAGTAACTGTGTCAATTCCCATTTTGAATTTGATTCCCCATAATTTAATCCCACCCCTCTCCGAACACCCTAGCATTTACTTCTTTTACAACCCCATCTATAAATATATTAAACAACCATGGTGACATTACACATCCCTGTCTAAGACCTACTTTTACCGGGAAGTTATTCTCCCTCTCTTCTACACACCCTAACCTGAGCCTCACTATCCTCATAAAAGCTCTTTACAGCATTTAGTAACTTACCACCTATTCCATATACTTGCAACATCTGCCACATTGCTCCTCTATCCACTCTATCATATGCCTTTTCTAAATCCATAAATGCAATAAAAACTTCCCTACCTTTATCTAAATACTGTTCACATATATGTTTCAATGTAAACACTTGATCTACACATCCCCTACCCACTCTGAAGCCTCCTTGCTCGTCCGCAATTCTACATTCTGTCTTACCTCTAATTCTTTCAATTATAACCCTACCGTATACTTTTCCTGGTATACTCAGTAAACTTATTCCTCTATAATTTTTACAATCTCTTTTGTCCCCTTTCCCTTTATATAAAGGGACTATACATGCTCTCCGCCAATCCCTAGTACCTTCCCCTCTTTCATACATTTATTAAACAAAAGTACCAACCACTCCAACACTATATCCCCCCCTGCTTTTAACATTTCTGTCATGATCCCATCAGTTCCAGCTGCTTTACCCCCTTTCATTCTACGTAATGCCTCACGTACCTCCACCACACTTACATTCTGCTCTTCTTCACTCCTAAAAGATGGTATACCTCCCTGGCCAGTGCATGAAATTACTGCCTCCCTTTCTTCCTTAACATTTAAAAGTTCCTCAAAATATTTCTCGCCATCTACCTAATACCTCCCTCTCCCCATCTACTAACTCCCTACTCTGTTTTTAACTGACAAATCCATACTTTCCCTAGGCTTTCTTAACTTGTTTAACTCACTCCAAAATTTTTTCTTATTTTCATAAAAATTTCTTGACAGTGCCTCTCCCACTCTTTCATCTGTTCTCCTTTTGCACTCTCTCACCACTCTCTTCACCTTTCTTTTACTCTCCATATACTCTGCTCTTCTTATAACACTTCTGCTTTGTAAAAACCTCTCGTAAGCTACCTTTTTCTCTTTTATCACACCCTTTACTTCATCATTCCACCAATCACTCCTCTTTCCTCCTGCCCCCACCCTCCTATAACCACAAACTTCTGCCCCACATTCTAATACTGCATTTTTAAAACTATTCCAACCCTCTTCAACCCCCCACACTCATCTTTGCACTAGCCCACCTTTCTGCCAATAGTCGCTTATATCTCGCCCGAACACCTCCTCCCTTGTTTATACACTTTCACCTCCCTCTTACTTGTTGTTGCCACCTTCCTCTTTTCCCATCTACCTCTTACTCTAACTGTAGCTACAACTAAATAATGATCCGATATATCAGTTGCCCCTCTATAAACATGTACATCCTGGAGCCTACCCATCAACCTTTTATCCACTAATACATAATCTAACAAACTACTTTCATTACGTGCTACATCATACCTTGTATATTTATTAATCCTCTTTTTCATAAAATATGTATTACTTATTACCAAATTTCTTTCTACACATAGCTCAATTAAAGGCTCCCTATTTACATTTACCCCTGGCACCCCAAAATTACCTACTACTCCCTCCATAACATTTTTACCCACTTTAGCATTGAAATCCCCAACCACCATTACTCTCACACTTGATTCAAAACTCCCCACGCATTCACTCAACATTTCCCAGAATCTCTCTCTCTCCTCTACACTTCTCTCTTCTCCAGGTGCATACACGCTTACTATAACCCACTTTTCACATCCAATCTTTATTTTACTCCACATAATCCTTGAATTTATACATTTGTAGTCCCTCTTTTCCTGCCATAGCTCATCATTATTATCATTATTATTATTATATATGTACTCCCGTATCCAAAACATTGCTGGGACCTATAAATACAGTGAGCCCCCGCCTTACGAATGCATCGCATTACGTTAAATCCGCCATATGAAGCATTTGAATGCAAAATTTTTGCCTCGCCTAATGATAAAAAACTCGCCTTACATGATTCGTCTGGGACGCATCCCACGTGTAGCCTCAGTGCCAGTGTTTACAAGCCAGCCAGTGCAGTCGCATCTACACATACATTCGGTACATTTCACATTATCCCAGTATTTTTAGTGCTTGTAACTGCAAAATAAGTCACCATGGACCCCAAGAAAGCTTCTAGTGCCATCCCTGTGGTAAAAAGGGCGAGAATTAGTATGGAATTGAAAAAAGAGATTAAGGAAATGTGTGCGAAGTGGGTTGAACTGCAAACCTTTACGGATGAAAATCACCCTGACACAGCTACTGCAAGCCGTGTTGGCAACCTGTACAATGACAATGTTATGGCCCATTTTAGGAAAGTCTTAAAGGAATGGGAGGTACAGAACTCTATGGACAGATTTGTTGTGCGACAGAGGTCCAGTGACTCTCAGGCTGGTCCTAGTGGCATTAACCCTTTCAGGGTTTCGGTCGTACTAGTACGGCTTACGCACCAGGGTCCACGATGTACTAGTACTCGTAAATTCTAGCGCCTTCAAATCTAGTGAGAGAAAGCTGGTAGGCCTACATATGAAAGAATGGGTCTATGTGGTCAGTGTGCGCAGTATAAAAAAAATCCTGCAGCACACACTGCATAATGAGAAAAAAAAACTTTGACCGTGTTTCTGGATTAAAACAGTGACTTTGCACTATATTTTCATATGGTATTTATTGTTGTATTCTAGTTTTCCTGGTCTCAATGTATAGAATGGAAGACATATTACAGAAATTGAGATGATTTTTATTGGTTTTACAATGAAAAGTACCTTGAAATTGAGCTAATATTAGCAGAAATGTTCGATTTTTACCTAAGTTCAAAAGTAAACAAATCATGCTAAGCTTCCAATGCACGTGAACTGGTGAGTCTAATATTCTTTCACAAGTGCGCCGATATTATTTATACCATTTCTACACTAATGCAGTAGTCTGCATAACAGTAAATCTTCTATTTTTTGTGAGAATAAAAATTCAAAGTGGAAAGCAAAAGAAATGTAAGAGGGGCCTGGGGACGTGACTAATGAACAGAGGAAATGTTATTTTAGTGCCAAGAATGTCTTTCTTGTTTATTCTGGACTCTATTTGGAAATTGGCATCTTTTGAAATTTGTGTAAAATTGGCAAAATTTGAAAATTCTGACCATTGTATTGGATAGTTGAAATCGGTAAATTGGTGGTTTCTTGTACTCATTTGATAGACAAAATGGAGTTCTAGCGAAATAGTTATGATTTTTGTCGACTAGTACATTGCAATTGGCTGAAAATAGGGCTCAAAGTGGGCAAAATCACCAATGGGTAAACATCGTCGAGACCGCTAACTTCGCGAGAGCATAACTGCGTAAGTTTTCCATCAAATTTCATACTTTTGGTGTCATTATGATCAGGAAAAGATTCTCTATCTTTTCATAAGAATTTTTTTGTGGGCCCTGAAAGGGTTAAAAGAAGGGAAGTAACCTCGGAAGAGGACTTGCTACCTCGAGTTCTAATGGAAGGGGATTTCCCTTCTAAACAACAACTTCCACACACTCCCCTCCTCCCATCCCATCAATCATCGCCAGATCTTCAATAAAGGTAAGTGTCATGTATTCTATTCTTAGCAGAGTCGTAATTGTGCATATCTTCTTCAGTTTGTGTGCATTAAAATTAATATTTCATGTGGTAAAAAAAAAATTTTCATACTTTGGGGTGTCAGGAACGGATTAATTTGATTTCCATTATTTCTTATGGGGAAAATTAATTCGGCTAACGATAATTTCGGCTTACGATGAGCTCTCAGGAACAGATTAATATTGTAAGGTGGGGGTCCACTGTACTATGTATGTATTTCTAGACAATAGTATGTGAGTAAGGTATGTGAAAATGTTAACCTGTCACTGTGTTTGTGACTATTTGAGTACTATTTCAGTATCTAATATTAGTGTCAGAACAATGATTGGCTATCAGATCACAAGAACTACTGTAAATAGTAATTACCAAAACATAAATTATATAAAATAATATGAAAATGAGAAAAATGGATATGTTGGCAACATTTCTGCAAGTGGCAGGACTCCACATTGCTATCAGATGAGCATCTTTGCAGGCTCATATCTAGGCAAGTACTGACCCTAAAATTTTTTTTATCCTATGTCATGTAGAAAAGTGCGATTTTTTTTCAAAATATTCAGAGTGCTGGGCGAGAGAATGTAGATCTACGTTTGGACAGTTAACGGGTTAGACCAAAAACATGGTTGCAGTTTTTCCCCATTATGCACTGCTTGCTGCAGGATTTTTTTTTATATAGTGCACAATTACTGCGCAGACCCATTCTCTCATATCTATGCTCAAATGTACCACTCACAGCTTGTCTAAACTACAGGATCAACCCTGAAAGGGTTTAAGCATGTGGAAGGTGAAAGAGGTGAAAGGAGAAGCACCAGGAGAGAGGCATTTCTTAAGTTATCCTCTCACTTAACTATGACATCATATGATTCCATTCTTTCATATATTGATCAGACATTCTATTCTTTCTTTCTTTCAATGTACCGGCCATATCCCACAGAAGAAGAGTGGCCCAAAAAGAAAAACAAAAGTTTCTTTCTTTAACTTCAGTAATGTATACTGGAGAAGAGTTACTACCCCTTGCTCCCAGCATTTTAGTCGCCTCTTACAACATGTATGCATGGCTTACAGAGGAAGAATTCTGCCCCACTTCCCCATGGAGATAAGTGGAAATAAACAAGAACTAGCAAGAAAATAGAAGAAAACCCTGAGGGGTGTGTGTGTGTGTATATATATGCTTGTACATGCATGTGTAATGTGCCCTGAGTGTAAGTAGAAGTAGCAAGGTGTACCTGAAATCTTGCATGTTTATGAGACAGAAAAAAGACACCAGCAATCCTACTATCATGTAAAACAATTACATGTTTCCGTTTTACACTCGCTTGGCAGGATGGTAGCACCTCCCTGGGCAGTTGCTGTTGACCAACCTACTAACTATGCAGACTTTATTGATTAAATATATAAAAAATAATCTTGCTTCATTTAAAATTGAAAATATTTTTATGGGGTATTTAAATGATTAAAGGACTGTAGACATTCTTGGGTGTCATCAGCTGAGGGATGCAGACATTCAGATTTATAACTGGGTTGTACATAGCAGCACCTACCAGACTGAAGTTTTGTATCTTGGTCTTGGAGATGTTGAAGCACGATATGATGCTCAGTATGTATTTTTTGAAAGCCAAAGTGGAGCTGCTTTGCCTGTGGTAAGATAGAAACATGTCTCAGTTTGTTATTGCAACCTGTATGATGAAAAAATTGAATGAATCATATGCCATAGGAGACCTGAAAAATAACCAATACAGACTGTGAAGGTACTGTGCTATACTTAAGGGTGTTTACAGGTACAATCTGGTGAAGTGAGTAAAGTACAGTAGAGCCCTGCTTTACGGCGTTTCGCCTTACAGTGTTCCACTAATACGGCGATGTCAAATTATGACCAAAATTTGCTATACGGCAAGCCATCTTTCAAATATGGCACGCCCCACCTGGTTTCTTTACATTCTCCGTGACCACATCTATTATGTCAAGAAACTTTCCAAAATTTCAGAACTTTTGAAGTTACTGCGTATTTTATATGTGCTCTGATAATTATACTTATGTGTACCTGTACCTAAATATACTTACACACTGTGCTGGTGTGTAGGTACACATGAAAATCGCTATGAGTCTCTCTTTTCATGATGCCAATACAGTGGACCCTCGCCTAACGCTCAACGTTAGGGGAAATTATCGTTAGGCGAATTAATTTTCCCCCATAAGAAATAATGGAAATCAAATTAATCCGTGCAAGACACCCAAAAGTATGAAAAAAAAAAATTTACCACATGAAATATTAATTTTAATACACACAAACTGAAGAAGACATGCACAGTTACATGACACTTACCTTTATTGAAGATCTGGTGATGATTGATGGGATGGGAGGAGGGGAGTGTGTGTATGGTCTTAGTGTTTAGAAGGGGAATCCCCTTCCATTACGACTTGAGGTAGCAAGTCCTTTTCCGGGGTTACTTCCCTTCTTCTTTTAATGCCACTAGGACCAGCTTGAGAGTCACTGGACTTCTGTCGCACAACATATCTGTCCATAGAGGCCTGTACCTCTCGTTCCTTTATGACTTTCCTAAAGTGTTTCACAACATTGTCAGTGTAATAGTCACCAGAACGGCTAGCAATAGCTGTGTGAGGGTGATTTTCATCCATAAAGGTTTGCACTTCAAGCCACTTTGCACATATTTTCTTAATCTTTGAAGTAGGCAACTTCTTCAATTTCTCTATCCCCTCCTCCAAAGCAGTTTCCTCAGGTGTGGCCTCTTGCTGTTGAAGATGATCTAGCAGCTCATCAGTGGTTAGTTCTTCATTGTCCTCCTCCACCAACTCTTCCACATCCTCCCCACTAACCTCCAACACCATGGACTTCCCCAATGCCACAATTGATTCCTCAACTGGCATACGCTTCTCAGGCTTAGCCTCAAATCCTTCAAAATCCCTTTCGTCTACACATTCTGGCCACAGTTTCTTCCAAGCAGAGTTCAAGGTCCTCTTAGTCAGTCCCTCCCAAGCCTTTCCTATAATGTTTACACAATTGAGGATGCTAAAGTGATCTCTCCAAAACTCTTAGAGTCAATTGAGTTTCTGAGGTCACTACAAAGCTTTTGTGTACAGTTTTTTGAAGTTTGCAATGACCTGCTGGTCCATGGGCTGCAGGAGAGGAGTGGTATTAGGAGGCAAAAACTTGATCTTAATGAAGCTCATGTCTGCAGAAAGTTGCTCTGCCACGTCTGAAGGATGACCAGGAGCATTGTCTAATACCAGGAGGCACTTAAGGTCAAATTTATTTTCCAGGAGGTAATTTTTCACAGTGGGGAAAATGCATGGTGTAACCAGTCATAGAAAAAGTCCCTAGTGACCCATGCCTTACTGTTTGCCCTCCACAGCACACACAAATTAGCCTTGAGGATATTCTTTTGCCTGAACACTCGGGGAGTTTCAGAGTGATACACCAATAAAGGCTTCACTTTGCAATCACCACTAGCATTGGCACACATCAACAGAGTAAGCCTGTCTTTCATAGGCTGTCCTGGGAGTGCCTTTTCCTCCTGAGTAATGTAGGTCCTGCTTGGCATTTTCTTCCAAAACAGGCCTGTTTCGTCACAATTAAACACTTGTTCAGGTTTCAGTCCTTCACTGTCTATGTACTCCTTGAATTCCTGCACATATTTTTCAGCTGCTTTGTGGTCCGAACTGGCAGCCTCACCATGCCTTATCACACTATGTATGCCACTACGATTCTTAAATCTCTCAAACCAACGTTTGCTGGCCTTAAATTCACTCGCATCACCACTAGTTGCAGACATTTTTCTAATTAAATCCTCATGCAACTTCCTAGCCTTTTCACATATGATTGCTTGAGAGATGCTATCTCCTGCTATCTGTTTTTCATTTATCCACACCAATAACAGTCCCTCAACATCTTCTATCATTTGTGATCTCTATTTCGAAAACAAAGTTGCACCTTTGGCAAGAACAGCTTCCTTGATTGCTGTTTTCTTGGCCACAATAGTAGCGATGGTTGATTATGGTTTACTATACAACCTGGCCAGCTCGGAGACACGCACTCCACTTTCATACTTAGCAATGATCTCTTTCTTCATATCCATAGTAATTCTTACCCTTATTCCTGTAGGGTTGGCACTAGAAGCTTTCTTGGGGCCCATGGTCACTTATTTTGCAGGTGAAATCACTAAAAACGCTGTGATAATACGAAATGTTCCGATTTTATGCTTGGATGTGACCGCGGAGGCTGGCTTGTAAACACTGCCACCCACGGAACAAGTGAGGCTGGCTCAGGCCACATGTGGACACGTCTCAGACGAATCGCGTTGAGCGAGTTTTTTTAGCGCTAGGCGAGGCAAAATTTTTGTGTTAAAATGTATCTCTAGGCGGATTTAACGTTATGCGATGCCATCGTTAGGCGAGGGTCCACTGTACTATGTAATAATAATCACTCTTGGGCACACTAAACGTCTTATTTTACATTAATATAGGCATTTTCATTAATCCATCTATGATATTTTCCTCAAATTATATATCAAACCCAATACATAGCATATAAACATGATACATACACTCACAGAATAAAAATTGACGTAAATATGAGATTTGTTTACAAAGCGGCTGTTGAGGTAGTGTCGGAAGAATTACGTTTTCTCTAGTCATACTGAGGGATAACAGTAGAAAAATATTCTTTTCATCTGCCGTCACTCTATATATAGCAATTCACGACCCTTGTGGGTTTAGTGCTTTTTATTATGATGATGATAATAGTAGTAATAATAATAATAAGAATAATATCTTCATTCACTCTAAAAATGGTGTGTTGCTGTTTGTTTATTCCGTATTAACTTGTACAACTTGAACATAATGTAAGAGTATTGTATTGTGAGGTAATTATTATTATAATAAAAGTAATGTTGAAGTAAATGTTTTACAAACTCTTACAAACGTACTTGACTGAACTAAAAGTAGACACATATTAATACGTATTTATTTCGCCTAACCAAGTGATCGTCCACTACCTGTTCAGTTTGTGTTCTTACATTGTCTCAACTCTGTATTTCGTTCTCTCTCTCGTTTACTCTTTCGTTAACTAGTTGGCTCTCATTGACGATGGCGTCTAAGGTTAGCTGTGATAAAAAGGAGTCGTAAGCCTCTTGCTTTAAGTGCCAAGTTAGAGGATGATGGTGTGCCATTCTGATTTTATTCAATAAACACCCTGCCACTCACCTCTCACACATTAATATTAATATTTTAAGGTAAGTAATAAGTGTACTCTGTGTGTATCTTACCTTTTATTGTGTTTTTAATGCCTATTTCTATTGCTAACTTAATATAAGTTAGTGTAAACTTGTTGTCTGGCATTTATTGCGTATTTTATATGCTGTGATAATACTTGTGGAGCTGTGTGGTAGCCGGGTGGAGGGATAACATTACGTTTTCTCTGCTCAGCTATCAGAGAAAATGTGTATGAATCTGCGTTTGGCCCAGCCACTCCCCCACTCCGCTTTTGTTTACAATTTTCGGCATGAATTATTCATTACTTCTACCTTCGTTTATGATGGCATCTAAATTTAGTTGTTAGAAACAATTAAATTAAGTGAACAAAGTATGCCGATGTTAATAATATGGCTCTGGGCCACAGTGTAGGTAGCCGGTAGGTGTAGCCCAGGCGGGCTACACCTACCGGATACCTACAGTGACTTCCTACAAATAAATGCTCTTCGCCTCTCTTCCTATATTAAGACTACACATATTTTAAGGTAAATAATGAGTGTACTGTATGTGTATTTTAAAGCACTGGGATGTTTTAAATATCGTATATTAAGTATGAGACAGGGAGCCAGGGCTACCTACACCTGGGCTACCTGCACCTGACTTCCTAAAAATAAGTACAGTGGTCCCTCGCTTTCGTAGTTCCCAGCAATCGTAAATTTCGCCAATCATAGGGTTATTTTCGTATAAACATGGACTCGCTTTTCATAAGTTGACTCGCGAGTCGTAATTCATCCCGGACGCGTACCCACGGCGCGAGCCGTGGCGGCAGCCAGTCTGGCATTGTTTACCAGTGAGTGAAGGTCCCCTCACGTGCTCCAGCGAAATATTTCATAATATTCCATTTATTTTAGTGCTTGCAAGTACTAAATAAGCTACCATGGCTCCAAAGAAAGCTCCTAGTGCCAAGCCTGTGTAAAGGGGTGGAAATACGTTGAATTTAAAAAAAACCATCATTGAACAATATGAAAGGATACAAGTGTGGCTGAACTGTCCAGGATTTTAAAAGAAACCCTACACAACCTTATTTCCCATAGTGGCCAAGAAAAATGAAATAAAAGGATGTGTTTTTTGCAAAGGGAGAACTATGCTGACAAAAAGAGACACCATACTCGAAGGGGTTTGAGAAGTTATTATTGGGTGGAAAATTGAGAAACAATTACGGGAGTATTTTATGACTTTGATTATTTGTGAAAAGGCTAGGCAGTTGCATGAAGATTTGGTAATGAAATTGCTTGCAAATAGTGGTGATGTGAGTGAATTTAAGGCCAGCAAAGGCTGGTTTGAGAGATTTAAGAACCGTACTGGCATACACAGTGTGGTAAGGCATGGTGAGGCTGCCAGTTCAGGCCACAAGGCGGCTGAAAAATATGTGCATGAATTCCAGGAGTACATAGAGGCTGAAGGACTGAAACCTGAACAAGTGTTCAGTTGTGACAAAACAGGCCTCTTTTGGAAGAAAATGCCAAAGAGGACCTTCATTACACAAGAGGAAAAGGCAATGCCAGGACACAAGCCTATGAAAGACAGGCTGATGCTAATGTTCTGTGCTAATGCTAGTGGGGATTTCAAAGTGAAGCCATTACTAGTGTACCATTCTGAAAATCCCAGAGTGTTCGGGAAAAACAATGTTATGAAGAATAAATTGTGTGTGTTTTGGAAATCTAATAGTAAGGCATGGGTCACGAGGGAAATTTTTGTCGAGTGGTTCAATGAAGTGTTTGACCCTAGTGTGAAGGAGTATCTCCTGGAAAAGAAATTGGATCTCAAGTGCCTGCTAGTAATGGACAATGCACCTGCTCATCCTCCAAACTTGGATGACCTAATTTTTGAGGAGTTTGGGTTCATCACAGTAAAGTTCTTGCCCCCGAATACCACTCCTCTCCTCCAGCCCATGGACCAGCAGGTCATTGCAAACTTTAAAAAAACTCTACACAAAAGCAATGTTTCACAGGTGCTTGACTGTGACCACAGACACTCACTTGACCCTAAGGGAATTTTGGAGAGAACACTTCAGCATCCTCCATTGCATAACCCTTATAGGTATGGCACTGGGGAGTTCCATGGGGTTGGATGTGAGTTTGGAGGATGTGGAAGAATTGGTGGAAGACCACAACGAAGAGCTCACCACTGAGGAGCTGCAAAAGCTTCAGCAGGAAGAGCAACACATCGCAGCTCAGAATCTTGCTGCAGAGGAGGAGGAAGAGAGATGGAAGAAGGTGCCTTCTTCAGAAATTAAAGAGATTTTTACTATGTGGGGTAAGATGGAAAGCTTTATGGAGAAACATCACCCTAACAAGGTTGTTGCAAGCCATATTGGCAACATGTGCAGTGACAAAGTCTTGGGCCATTTTAGGGAAGTGTTAAAGAGACGCCAGAAACAGAGCTCTCTCCACAGTTATTTTGCGAGGCAGGACTCCAGTGACTCTCAAGGTGGTCCTAGTGGCATTAAGAAACAGAGAAGACAAGCAACCCCAGAAAAGCAATTGGTACCTGAGGTGTTGCTGGAAGGGGATTTCCCTTCCAGACTATAAACAATCCACTCTCTCTCCTCCTCCTCCAGTCTCCCATACACTAAGAAGAATCTCCAATAAAGGTAAGTGTTATGCTGTTAATGTTTCATTCATCATTTCCCATTGTATTGTTTATGTACTACATGTATATTTCATGTAAAAAATTTTTTTGTTCTAATACTTCTGTGTGTCAGGAACGGATTAATTGTATTTACATTATTTCTTATGGGGAAAATTGATTCGCAGATCGTAAATTTCGTTTACAGTAACGGCTCCAGGAACGGATTAATTACGAAAAATGAGGGACCACTGTACTACTCGCCTCTTTCCCTACATTAAGATGTAGTGTTAGGCTTGCCGACACTAACAATGCTCTTTCCTGTCACGTCAGAGATCATAGCCATCCTATTGACTGGTCTTCTGCTAAAACTGTCTTCCCTACTTCCAACTCGAACAGTCGTCGTCTAGTTGAATCCTCTCTAATACACAACTTTCCTTGTATGAATCGTAGCCCTGGCTTCGTCTCTGTAGATGCCTTCCTCTCTCACTACATTGTAAAATGCTCCAAACTTCAGAACACC